GCCTCATCTTCGCGGGGAAGCAATGAGCGACGAGCTCAAACTCAGCGACTACAGAGTGGCTCCGGGCTGCACCATCCACATGGTGCTGCAGCTCCGCGGCGGCAGCTAGCTGCTGCTGCTGCTGCTGCTGCTGCTGCTGCTGCTGCTGCTGCTGCAGCAAGCAGATTCGCCTCATCTTCGCGGGGAAGCAAATGAGCGACGAGCTCAAACTCAGCGACTACTAAGTGGCTCCGGGCTGCACCATCCACATGGTGCTGCAGCTCCGCGGCGGCAGCTAGCTGCTGCTGCTGCTGCTGCTGCTGCTGCTGCTGCTGCTGCAGCAAGCAGATTCGCCTCATCTTCGCGGGGAAGCAAATGAGCGACGAGCTCAAACTCAGCGACTACAGAGTGGCTCCGGGCTGCACCATCCACATGGTGCTGCAGCTCCGCGGCGGCAGCTAGCTGCTGCTGCTGCTGCTGCTGCTGCTGCTGCTGCAGCAAGCAGATTCGCCTCATCTTCGCGGGGAAGCAAATGAGCGACGAGCTCAAACTCAGCGACTACGGAGTGGCTCCGGGCTGCACCATCCACATGGTGCTGCAGCTCCGCGGCGGCAGCTAGCTGCTGCTGCTGCTGCTGCTGCTGCTGCTGCTGCAGCAAGCAGATTCGCCTCATCTTCGCGGGGAAGCAAATGAGCGACGAGCTCAAACTCAGCGACTACAGAGTGGCTCCGGGCTGCACCATCCACATGGTGCTGCAGCTCCGCGGCGGCAGCTAGCTGCTGCTGCTGCTGCTGCTGCTGCTGCAGCAAGCAGATTCGCCTCATCTTCGCGGGGAAGCAAATGAGCGACGAGCTCAAACTCAGCGACTACAGAGTGGCTCCGGGCTGCACCATCCACATGGTGCTGCAGCTCCGCGGCGGCAGCTAGCTGCTGCTGCTGCTGCTGCTGCTGCTGCTGCTGCTGCTGCAGCAAGCAGATTCGCCTCATCTTCGCGGGGAAGCAAATGAGCGACGAGCTCAAACTCAGCGACTACAGAGTGGCTCCGGGCTGCACCATCCACATGGTGCTGCAGCTCCGCGGCGGCAGCTAGCTGCTGCTGCTGCTGCTGCTGCTGCTGCTGCTGCTGCAGCAAGCAGATTCGCCTCATCTTCGCGGGGAAGCAAATGAGCGACGAGCTCAAACTCAGCGACTACAGAGTGGCTCCGGGCTGCACCATCCACATGGTGCTGCAGCTCCGCGGCGGCAGCTAGCTGCTGCTGCTGCTGCTGCTGCTGCTGCTGCTGCTGCAGCAAGCAGATTCGCCTCATCTTCGCGGGGAAGCAAATGAGCGACGAGCTCAAACTCAGCGACTACAGAGTGGCTCCGGGCTGCACCATCCACATGGTGCTGCAGCTCCGCGGCGGCAGCTAGCTGCTGCTGCTGCTGCTGCTGCTGCTGCTGCTGCTGCTGCAGCAAGCAGATTCGCCTCATCTTCGCGGGGAAGCAAATGAGCGACGAGCTCAA